CAATTTATGTGATAAATATTTGTGAATTGTGCGAAAAGTGTTGTGCACTAACTGTAAGGTTTATTGTGTTCATAAAACTTCTTTCAAAACTTTAATTCCATATAAAAGTCGGACAATAAATAAGATACTCAGCATATCTTTTGATATTATAATAAGAATATTCTTATAGAATAATGTGTATTAACCTCTCCGGGAAAGCATTTTATTGTTGACATTAGAGTTATTGCTGGCATTGGACGCGTTTGTGTTGATATTATTATAATTATTGATTCGGTTCTCAATATGATTATCATTTGAATTATAATTATTGTTTGCGTTATCATTGATATTAACATTTGAATTGAGGTTAATATTATGAAAAGTGGTGAGAGAGTCGGGTGAGTCTAAGCTGGTCCACGGGATGGCATTTGTGATGCCCTGACGTGCCTCAGCTATCAGTCTTCTGGCTCTTTCTCTCAACTGTCTCTGTCTCTCCTCTTCTTGCTATAAGAATCCAATATATTATGTAATAAAGCTTTAATGTCTAGTCGTATAGTAGTTAGAGAGCGACCACAATTTATGTGATAAATATTTGTGAATTGTGCGAAAAGTGTTGTGCACTAACTGTAAGGTTTATTGTGTTCATAAAACTTCTTTCAAAACTTTAATTCCATATAAAAGTCGGACAATAAATAAGATATTCAGCATATCTTTTGATATTATAATAAGAATATTCTGATAGAATAATGTGTATTAACCTCTCCGGGAAAGCATTTTATTGTTGACATTAGAGTTATTGCTGGCATTGGACGCGTTTGTGGTGATATTATTATAATTATTGATTCGGTTCTCAATATGATTATCATTTGAATTATAATTATTGTTTGCGTTATCATTGATATTAACATTTGAATCGAGGTTAATATTATGAAAAGTGGTGAGAGAGTCGGGTGAGTCTAAGCTGGTCCACGGGATGGCATTTGTGATGCCCTGACGTGCCTCAGCTATCAGTCTTCTGGCTCTTTCTCTCAACTGTCTCTGTCTCTCCTCTTCTTGCTATAAGAATCCAATATATTATGTAATAAAGCTTTAATGTCTAGTCGTATAGTAGTTAGAGAGCGACCTTTCCATTACATCACGAGATATACTCTTCAGTACTAAACATCTCGGAGTCAAAGAGACGTCTCAGACATGCATTCAATCTCAGTCTCGGAGTAGATAACAATAAAATAAATTAATTCATTACACTTTTAACTACTCATTGATTATAACTTTAGTTTTATGTTTGTTTAGGAGTGAATGAAAGATAAATTATTTAATGAAAGAAATGATTGTACAGTAAATTTATATAACTGTATTCATGAGTAACGCTGTTATCACTAGTAGTAAAATAATTTCTAAATAATTATAAATAACTCAAAGATATAAAAATTAAATATTTATTTTAAAAATTCCTTTCTGATAAATTATAACTTTACTACTGATTCAATCAATATTTTTTCATTACACGTGATTCAAAATTTATAGACTATAAGGCGAGTCTATAAATTTTGATGCGATTCCTACTGGCAATGCGAATACATGTCTGGAAACGACTGACTCAATACATTTTGATCCTTAAAATATAAATGAGAAAACGATATATACTTTAGACAAGTGTCCGATCGGTTGAGTATTTTTAGGAGAAAACGCTTCTTTGCGAGCGTTCTCTAGTAGTCTTCGGGCGCGCTCTTTAAGCTCTTCCTGTCTAGAGAGCGGGCGCTAGTAATCGATTAAAGAGATTAAAGTCAAATCAGACCATCAATTAAAGCCAAAACTAATTAAAAAGGGTTTTACTCTTCGCGGATCCACAAGGAATGAGTGACCGGTTGGCGCCGAATGAGCTCTTTGTAGCCTAAATGACTTGGAAGGCGACAGATCCAACAGACCCGGAGCTAATTCCACGGGTTCTGCCATACGATAGAGACCCGAATGCATTGAACCGCCAGTTATTGAATACTCGTTATTCAGACGACGCGATGACGTCGACGGCGAAGAGGATGAGGACGAGGAGGAAGAGGGCGACAAAACGGGCGGCTTTTTGTACGCGTATTGAATGGGTCTGCGAATGGGCTCTCGAATGACACTCTTATCGGAGTCCGTATGCGATGGAGTACTCGCTTGCGATGAGTTTTGCGCTAAACATAAGCATTAATAATAGATTAACGCAAAAGAATTCAAGTTTGTGTGCAAATTGTGAAGAACTCAACAAAAATATAAAGGAAATAATAATAAATAATTAAATTAGTTTACATTTGTTTCCATTTTGATGATGAGTTAATTCAATCTCTTCGTCACTATCGGAGTCAAAAGGGTATAAAAGCTGTTTGCGAGTCATTAGTTTGGGCCTCTCATGGCTCGCACTCATCGATCCATTATTAATGTCAGCGCTGTTTGTTTGCACATCTCTTTGGCTCTCATTATCTTTAAGATCCAAAGAATTTGTTAAAATCTTTTGCAATTCTTTGAGTTTTCCATTTCTGAGTTTCGAGAAACTGAATCTTTCTTTTTTAGCGCTATTCTCGTGTGTTGGCGACGGAGAGGTCGCACCGGCGTCTCCAGTGTTGGCCGTAGTCTCACTCCAATTGCTGGAGATCTGTCTTTTATGAATTGAACGCTCATTACTGTCCGTCTCGTCAAACATTGTAAATGCTTTATTATCAATAGCGTTGACATGACTACCACTTCCATCCACTGCTTCTTCATTTGTATATAAATTACTTCTAATTTTGTTCATTTCATTCGCATTGTCTGTCATTGAATTATCGTTATATTCATTGCCGTCCACTTCATTATCGCTGTCTTGTTCTCCAATCGTATACATCGAGTCTTTGGCCGTATCTCCGATTTGCTGCAATTGCATCATTTGGCCGCAGAAGTGAGCTCTCAGTTGATAGAGATATGTCATCACCGATAGCTTGTCGGGTGTCGCCCGCATCAGCATATCTGACGGTTCAATGAGCTTAGGTATGCCGAGTTTGGCCGCCACATCAAACGCCTTCTTGCAGTTGTCCTTAATTTCTGACGGCGAGAGTGCACTGAAGTCTATGAGATCGGGTCTGTAGTGATGAATGACTGCACAGAAAGCCATTCCGTTTCTCCAAGAAGTGCCAAAATTAGTCACTTTGACGCCGTGATAGCCAGTCGTGACAGACTTACACCAACTTAACAGGTCATCAGTGGCTGAAAATGCAGGCATTTGTTCGTCACCAGAGCTCACGAAAGAGGTGTCGATTGCAAAAGAGGTGTCCACCGAATCAACCGGTGCTATGTTCTCAGTGTAACTGATAAAGGAATCGTCTATCGAATCGTTGGGCAATATATGGTGATCGGTGTTCACAGCACTGGTATCATGAACTGACTGTTCGAGAGCACTGGTATTCTCAGCGTTAGGATCGGCAGTTTGGAGAGGCATTTGCGCGTCAGCACAACTCACTGAAGATCTGTCTGCTATCGCACCGTCAACCGTGTCATCAAAATCTTCAATATTTCCGATGTCTTCGAACGGCTTTATACTCATAAGACTGGCTATGCTTTGCATGTCTTCATCGCTAAATGTGATCATAAATCATAGGTTACGCTCACATGACTTTTGACACTGCATTTCAAAGTTTAGCACAAATATTGCTCAAACCCTAGATTCTACACATTCTGTTGAGTACAGAATCCTAATTCATGACACAAGGGGTAGAGTCACCAATGTTTTCCATTAGTTCAAAATACCGTACAATACTAGCACAGTATAAAGTACTATATTCTAGAACAAATTCTAATTTAAAGGGATTACATACAACATATTGCATGTTTATCATTAATTATACAAGAACTCAAATTAATTGTGAAACTTTTGAATTCAATTATTTTCTGTCTTATTCATTACATTGGTACCACTACTCGTGTGACTTATTTATTATATTTTTTGTGAGCAAAAAATTGGTTACTCTTGAGAATACACACTCTTATTAGGCTTATGTTTATTTATTTCTCGGATAGTATTGTGCAGTACTGGTCAGTGCTGGCGTAGATGTAGTGCCCTATTATATGGTCGTAAAATTGATGGCAAAACACATATTCATCATTATTTACGACTACTTTCTTTCATACGAGCCTAACATTAATGCCAAACATTTCACGAAACATATGCTGGCGTAGATGTAGTGCCCTATTATATGGTCGTAAAATTGATGGCAAAACACATATTCATCATTATTTACGACTACTTTTTTCATACGAGCCTAACATTAATGCCAAACATTTCACGAAACATTTTTATGTATCGATAAGTAATAGTAAAAAGGTATCATATTTTGCTTTCATATCGTAATATGAATGAATCGATTTGCTAAATAAGTTGTTTTCAATTTGGAAATGGTCGTAAAAATTGAAATATATTTAACTGTATATTCAATAAATAATCGTTAGGAAAGACATTAACCAACTTTTTTTTATTATCATAAAGAAATTGTTTTGAAACGTGATCTCAAGCGTAATGTTTTGGAAAAGTGGGTCTTGTCGGCCAAATTAATGGCCAAAACTTTCTCTCACTCTTATTAATTAACTGACTTTTGCTTTCATCAAACGCCTTAATGGGCATCAATTGGAAAACACAGATCAATTGAGTTAATTAATAAAACTGAGACAAACATTTGGTCATATATTTTGCGAAAAGGTTTGATTGCATTCACACACTATAGTGAACATCACGTATGGAATAACTTTTTGCAATCAATTCTTATATTTCTCCTAAAATTATATTAACTTTTTGCTCACATTTTAACACTTCATTTATGACCCGAAGATGTTCTCAAATAAATAGCTTTACTTCAAAGGAAAGTCTAATGAA